CCCCAGTGTAGGGGAGTAGATAAGAGAGGCAACACCAAAACACCCAGAACCATGAGATGGGGCAGGGAACCCACCCCAAACAGCCCAGTGCAAGGTACACAAACCCTGAGCAATAACAATTATCAATAAAACAGCAATAGACTTGACAGAGTAATAACGTCTTAACCACACATAGTTGAGGGTCTGAAGGAAAAAATTGGTAAAAAAACTGTAGAAGAATTGGTCTTAGTGCGTCGGGAGATCGAGAACAAAACCCCTTCAGGAGTGAACAAGAGGCCATCCATGTGGAACGCCCGGACGTCTGCCACCCGATGGAACAATACTAAGCCGAGCAAAAGTGTACGTTTCACCGACAGCCGACATCAACAGACGCCAATACTGTAGTAAATAAAAATGTATCGATAGAGCCCTTTCCCCTGACGCGCACGTTTCGCCCACAGCTCATCAGAAGGGCTCTATCGATAAATTTTTATTTACTACAGTATTGGCGTCTGTTTAGACGGCTACTAGACTCTATATCTTACACTTCGATATTTAGCCCTACTCCAGCTATATAGTGGGGGGTTCACTGAGTACATGTCCTTGATCTATTCTGGCAGTGACCCCTATTCCCACTGCAGGAGTTATTTATTTATATAGTGAAGAATAATTTTTCTCATATCACTATATTCTTTTTAGTGCGTTTTCTGGATCTAATAAGCACTATGAATAGGGTTTTATGTGGTTAAGTCATTATGCTGACATCATGATTTCCGTATAAAAGCTACCAATGTAGACCTTTAGAACCTTATTTTGTTACACCACTCTATGTAGCAACTCCTACTTTACGGACGTTTTCTTTCCTTTTATTTCAACTTAATTGACGTACACATTTGTATGCACAAAAAAAACTGTTTGGTTTTTTGCATATCATTTGGAGCTTTGTCCTGAAAACTTTTGAACAGGACCTCCTTTATCAATTTATCGTTATATATTTATAGGAAATTAATTGTTCCTTTAGTATTTTATCTTGATGATCCATTTACTATTAGTTCAAGCATATATTTGATAACACTGTATTTTTGTTGATTATTTTGGATACATCGTATCAATTTGGTTTTAAACTTTATTTAGTATTGAAAGGTATTCTGCTTTCAGTGTAATATTGCGAGATAGACAAAAACAATAAATGTCTTTTGTCACTTACGATAAAGCCTGAGAGCAGGCCCTGCCCAAGCAGTTAATATATTGGACTGCAGATATGTTGTACATGAAAAGAAGTATGCAGCAATCAGACATATTCCGAACCAAGCTGTGGATGACGAAGGAGCCTGCTATCAATTCTAAACAGTTTACGTGTATACTGATCTCCTTGGTTTGCCAGGGTCCTCCTGTTGACAAGTCCGCACAGTGTGCACCCCATCCCCATAGACTGGCATCTGATTCCACCACAAAGTCTGGTGATGGACCGAATATAGCTTTCCCATTCCAGGCCTGCGTATGGAGAAGCCACCAACGGAGTTCCGTCCGTACTTCGGAAGTAAGAGGTACCTCTTGGTCGTACGAGAGTCCAGAGCGCAGGTAGTGGGTTTTCAGTCTCTGCATGGCCCGGTAGTGTAGAGGTCCTGCGTAGATCACCTGAATGGAAGCCGACAAGAAGTCCAGGACTCAAGTCAACAGGCATAGGGGAACGTGTTCCATTCGAAGGTGCTTCCAAGTGGCTTCCATTTTCGTGAGAGGTAGCCATAGGACAAAAGCCTTGGAATCTATCTCAAATTCCAGGAACTGGACTTCTTGAGTGGGTTCCAACGATGATTTTTCTTGGTTGATGACGAAGCTTAAAGATTTCATGAAGTTCACGGCAAAGTTCTTCTGAGATCGCAATCGCGATACAGAGTCGCAGAAAATCAGCAACTCATCTAGATAGATGATGCATCTTACCTCCTGAGATCCTAGACAGGCCATAACTGGTTTCAGTAGCTTCATGAAGCACCAAGGAGCCGAGCTGAGACTGAAGGGGAGGCATGTGAACTGGTACCTTCGACCTCACCAATGAAATCGCAGAAATCTGCAACAGGAATGTTCAACCGGGACTGACAGATACGCATCCTTTAGATCTAACTGGGTGAACCAGTCGCCTTCGAGTAGAAGGTCTCGCAACAGGTGAATCCCTTCCATTTTGAAGTGACGATACACCACAAAGGAATTGAAATGTCTCAAGTTGATGACTGGGTGCAAATCTCCGGTCTTTTCTGGACCAGGAAGATTTTGCTGACGAAACCACCTTCATCGCGCCTTTGGAAAACAGAATCCAGAGTTCATCGTCTATTAGGCCCTCGTGTTCCACGGAAACCTAAAGTGGGGGTGGAGGGTGAGGTTGGCGTGGAGAAGCATTGAATTTAATTACATAACCCCTCACCGTCTGTAAAATCCATGCATCTGTGGAGATTTCTTACCAGTTCAGCAAGAAACTGCAGTGAAAGCATCTAGTTGGAAAAATACAATGGGACCCACCTGTGGTAAATCGTCCACGGCCTTTGCCTCTGGAGCCGCTCTGCCTGGTCGCACCTCTATAGAAGGATGTATTCCTGGGCAATGAGGATGGGTAGAAGGACGATGAAGGTGGGTTGGATCTGGAGCCAGTAGACCAGAAGCAGCTGGTGGCCCAGCACCGCTGCTGACCAGCCCGTCCAAAAACACCTTTCCCTTGAGGTGAGTGGAACACTTGCCGCATCGATGACTGTGCCTTGTTAAGGGTAGTGAACAATAACACATGCTTTTTTAACTCGACAATAAATGAATCTCCAAACAGGAGGCCGTTGGCTGTTGGGCCTAGTTCTTTGGAGGCCATTTAAATCAGCTTGGTGTTGATGACGAACATTTAACAATTATGGAACACTTGCTACTAATAACATGCTTAAATATTGCATACACACAAATGAAAAATGTTCCAAACTATCTTGTACACTGAAATAACACTGCCATTATTTCACTGGTGGGACTGTAAAAGATTCATTCCTACTTGATCATGTCTAACTAAAAATTTGGACTAGCATACGTGCCCTCCATTACCTTGACTTTTTAATATATTGCATGTTAATGAACCTGTGACATGATCTCCACAGCTGCTAAAACAGAGAAATATCATGGATATTATTGACATTTTAATGTTTGCAAGAGCAGGCCATCGTGGTTAGTGTTGGTTGAATTTTTTTAAAACTCTTTAATATGCAGGATGTGTCATTAAAGGGATACTATTGAGCATCATTAATATTGTTCTTATTGGTGTTTATATATTTATAAAGTGCCACCATATTGTACAGTGGTTTACAAAATGAGAGCATTGGCTAATAATTTTATACATACATTGTGCAAACAGTTTCTGTCTGCTGTTTCGGTTGACTCCTCGTGGAACATTGAAAATTCTTTCTTGAAAGTTATTGAACGCTTCTGGGAAAGAATACAAAGTATACACAGAAACGGAACAGTGTGAACATAAAACTTGCAGTTTAAAATCAATTTGAAATCAATTCTTCTTCAAGCCTACTTAAAAAGCCAGTTGCATGATGCTTTTCTTTTATCAACTATCCATAGCACAACAACTAGAGGATACATTCCAAATGCTGACTTCACAATTCCTTTTTTTACTTGTCTAGAATACAAATGTAGTGACTACTATTAATTAAGACCTTTAAACATTTCACTGACCCTTTTAATTTTCACCTAAGACAGAACCCACCCTCCCCCCAAAAAAAAATCACTCAGTGAAACAATGCATTTTTCTTTGTACAAATATTATTTTATCCTTAATCGTTCTTTGTATTTTAAAGAGCACTTTTACAGCAATATGTTGTAATCATGCATGAATTAATAAAGTAAAATTTAAATAGGTCAGGACAGCATTCTCAAAGTTGCATATTCATTCCATCAAGCACTTTGTGATTCGCAGACAAAATAGAGCTAGATTTAAATGAGATTATTTAAATATACAGTTCTCTCATATTCTAGTCAGCAACTAATACATATATGAAAAGAAAAAAAATAATCATAAATGTTCCCTTTTATTCACCATTTTGTAGTGTTTTCAAAAATGTACAAAAAGAGCATTACAAGTATTAAAAAATGAGTTTGTGCTTTAACATGCCAGCAATAAATGGTAAACTTAAAATGGGCAAATTCATTTCTTCTGCAGATCCAATTAGTAATTTTTTTTTTGTAATTTTTTTTTTATAACATCAATAGTATAAATTAATCAATTAGCAAAAATAATAAGAAAATTTGCATTCAATTTCGTGTAGTTGGATGTCCAAAGCACTGGCTCTTGCTGCTTGAATACCTGTTACACAAAAAAATATGATGGAGGTTTAATAGTTGCAGATATTTTTAAATATTTTTTTAAAATAAAAACATTTGAAATAGTTCAGAAGCAAATTGCATTTGTATTTAGTGAAACCATTCATATACGAATCTTAAATTAAGGGTGCAGGCACTTTTCTTTCTTCGAAGCATGCTTTTCATGGTTTTCATCGTGATATGTTTAGTATATGAACTTGATAATGTATGTTGTGATAGACTAAATTTTTTTTATAAATAAATCCTATGCTTTCATCCAGACATCAAAAAGCACATTTAAAAAAAAAGAAAAACAGATCTTATTGCCAGGTAGAATCACCTGTAAGTATGGGTTCTTACCTCAGTTGACTCAACAGTTGCTTCTGGGCAGGCAACCGGGGGCACCAAATTTTTTATTTATTTAATTAAAAAGAGCAATCTCCTAGCTACCTGACACATAGTTGTCATATCTGGAACATCTGGGGCAAATGTAGAGATTTGCCAGGTGTGAACAAAACTTCATAAATCTGACATAGTATTGTGTCAGTAATGGGTGTTACCCTATGATGCTTACCCGGAGTACCATTTGCTTTAAGACTGGGATTTATATGGGATTTAAATGAACAGCATATTCACAAAATATTGATTGAATAAGTCAACATTAATAGAGGAGACATACTACAATGCCACAGATGGAATAATACCATAAAATGGGATTCTGAAGCAAGCTGGTATACTGATTTACACACTAGGTAAAATGGTAAAGATGTGTGCTTATGATGCGTGAAAAGAAATGTCTGCCATGCATTATATGTATAATAGACATGCTAATAATGCAATGCAGAACAGAATGCATGTTATGTTCATACAGGCATGTGGGATGTGCCAGCACAACACAACTCTAAAAGCATATTAATTTTACTTAGTATTCAGCATCATTTCTATGGGGAGGAATGTAGTACACTGTCAGTGTGTAGCATGCTCCCCACCAGTGACCTCATATAGGACTGCTATAAAAAAACTATGCACAATGTACCCAACACCTCTTCATCCAGTGTACATCTTCTGGCATTCTATCACAGTGAGTGCCCATTACTGTGCCTGTGATTGGTTCTGGAGGGGTTCCTCCCAGCCACAGTTTATGTTAACCCTCAATTGCCACAAATGGTACAAAGGAAAGGGAAGGATCATAACAGTGGGTTACTACTACTAACATTGTGTCTGGGGGAACACTATTTCTTTTAGTTAAGCTATTTAGTTATATTTTGCCTGCTGACACATGATCTATTTATTTATGCACTCAGACGTATTTGGATGAGTTCAGAGTGTCATCTCCTCTAATTCAATTTGAAAGGTGGTTTTGAGAACAAAGCCAAAAGGTCCCTGAAAGGCAAAAATAAAGATTATATGATTCCCTATGACTCCCACACTGAACTTTAACACTAAATGCTTTAGTATGTCTCTATACACAGAATAACAAAATACATTATTATGCTAGTATTGGTGTAGTTTTGATAAACCTAAATGTGCTAAAAGACCATTCAGGTGAAATAAATCAGCATCTAACAATCCCTACAAGATATCAAAGATTTAAAAAAAATCTTTCAGTACCATTTTCGAGCAGTTTAAGACTGAATGAGAGTCCCACTAGGAGCATGGCTAAGGCAGAGATTATACACTTCCTTATAGCCATACCAATGCATACCAGCTTTGGCAGCTGTGATAGGCTGAATGCAGTCGGCTGACACTCTCAACCAATCACTGCTGCCCACTGCAGCACACAGGGGATGGACTGCTTGGAACTCTTGTTTAAAATTAAACCATTGAAAACTATTTAACACTAAATGGAAGAATGTCGCCAGGGTACAATAACCACTTTGATTAGGTGAAACGGTTACAGTGCCTATTATATTCCTTAATAATTTTGTTATATTTCAAGATTAAGCTGTTTTGTTACATTTATTGGCGTTGGGTACCATGTTACAACACAGACTGCTTGAGCATCACAGGACAAGGAATTCACAAAGATATTCAGTTCCCTAGTCATCTATCAGCATCTAAAGAATTATTAGCAAAAATTTCAAGTGTGCACTAATTAGCAGAGTGGCATGTTTTTATTTGCCTGACTAAGCACTAAAGATTTCTTCCAAGGTATTAATCAAATGACATTCCATGGACCCTGCCATTCATTAATCTTCATGGCTTGTCATAAATAACATTAATGTATTCCAATAATTATCTCCAGCATTCACTTTACTCCTGCCCTGCCACCATTTCTGCTTACTCACAACATGCTCAGAAGCATTAAGATGTAAATAGAATCTTATCAGACCTTTTACCAAAACCACAGATTTTTCTTACCATCAATCGTTCATGATACACGATACAAGGTTCCTCTCCTTACAGATAAAAGCGTCTGTCAATAACATGGAAAAACTACCAACCAAAAGTGGATATCGACTCACTAAAAAAATGTATGTCGGTCTAAATATTGCAAACTGATTACTAGCTCGACTCTATTTAGAGAATAAACGTTTTGCTAAAGTAGTTGAGTCACAAAAAAATCTGCTGTTTTTATTTAAATTTTCCCCCCTCTTTTTATATAATTAATAACAGTTATTGTGCATCAAGGAACTTCTTTTTTAATATATTTAATATTATAATTATAAAACAAATATTTTTATTAAAGCCTAGGCACTAACTGTGTCAGCCTACATTTCTTAAACCTGTTCTACTGCAACAAAACACATCCAACGAAAGATATGAGACCATATTATTTACATATTTTGTTAATTCTTTTGTATATGTATATGTTGTAGATCAGGGGTCCTCAAACTGTGGTCCTCCAGATGTTGCTGAGCTACAACTCCCATGATTATTTCAATGATATAGATAGCCAGAGAATTATGGGAGCTGTAGTTCAGCAACATCTGGAGGGCTACGGTTTGAGAACCCCTGCTGTAGATGCTGAAGCACTTAGTTTAAAACAAGCCTAAACAATGAGTTAAAAAAAACTATTCTGAATGACTAACCCTTTCGTATAATGCCATAGCGCAGAACATATTGACTCTTAATAAACAAAGTGAAATAAAATGTGCTGGCTCTTTCTATATCGCAAAGTCTATTTCATAATGCCATTGCTTTATTAAGATGTAGATAATTACAGCTTTGGAACATATGACACAGAACAAGCATTAAATGAGTACATTATACGTCTCAGCCATAAGTAAATATAAGATGATGGCTAATCTTGGTATCCCATCGTTTTGAAAGGAATTTCCCATGATACGTATCCAAGTTCAAAATGATAAAATGCAAGTGCTTTATCTTATTTTATAATCATGAGAAATTTATTTTACGCTAGTATATATTTATTATATAGTAACGGTTGTTGTACAACAACAATGAAACCTAGTGTTTATGAAACAGAAATAATTTGAGCAATTAGATTTTAATTTAATTTAATCACATCTATTTTTACCATGAGTTAATTTACAAAAAAAAATACACTTCAGCTTACTTTATGGGTCGAAAAAGTGCTATATTTATGCAGAGTGTGCCTGCTGTAGTTTGAAAAAAGTGCATATTTCAATATAAATTGGCACTTTTTTTTTTTTAAATTAAGTCAGGCAATTACTCCGAGCACCTGCCTTGCAAAGACTTCTCTTGGAACTGCATTGGGAAGTCTGTGATTGGAAACAGAAAGTTTGGGCTGGGCTAGGCAGGGAAAGAAGGGGAGGGCTTGCGAAGGCTGCAGACAAGAGATCTACAGCTTTTGCAAGCTGGTTTTAGATATAACTCCAATTGAATAAAATAGCAATTAAATTCATGCATGTTTTCAAAATGCATATATCTAATAAACTGTTATTTATTTATTTGCATTCGGGCAGTGGAGGTTCTGTTAATTTTTACCCCGATTCTAAAAAAGATGTACTTTAAAAAAATACACAACACTGAAGTATGTATTTTTAAAATAAAATATTTGTTAGTATATAAGTGATACTTTTTATTTAAAAAAGTTTTATTTCGCTATAATATTTTTTGATTATTTATTATGCTTATTATGAAACCAAATGTTTATTATTCTCAATTTACTCATTATAAAATATCTAATTCTAAGGATTCCAGTAAAATGGGTTAGGATCTCGCCTTTTATCTGGCCTCTGCTCCTGTTACTCACTGAACTTTGTAAATCCGAAGACAGGTTCCCACACGCAGTCACTGGAATCCATGTGGGGAAAGGCAAAATTTAAGAACAAAACCCGCCAGTGCACTCATAGGAGGATGTTGGATTCGTAACTATGTATTTTTATATGGCGGAAAGGATTGAACAGTGATGACGACCCATTACTAAAAATTCTTGACGAGGTCATAGTGTATTGACCCCAGAGTGCCATTTCTACATTATTTGTTATAATGTATATTTCCTAAACAGTTTCAAAATGTATTAAGGTTTGGTTAGGTTCATCATACCATATATATTGGAGGGCAAATAACAGGAATAGATCCATGGGTTAAACTATTGTTACTTAACCCCTTTCACTATTGAGCACTTTATGACTGAAAAAAAAATATTAGAATATCTTTTATTTGAAGTAAGGGTTCCATAGCCAGCATGTAAACATTTTATAACAAAGCAACTTTGTGTACAGATTTTTGTTACTTTTCCCTTTTTTCATTTATCCTTAATAAAAATATTTGGAACATAAAAATATTTTGGAAGGATGCAGTGTCCTTTATCTTGCAATATTTCACACAGGATATGATTTGTTAGTAAAAAAACAAAAATACGATTTTACTCACATACAGTATAAAATGGTTATATACCGTACTTATAGGTATTTGCAAGGACCCAAGAGGCATTACTAGCAGTACTGCTAACCAAAATGGCAACAGAATGAAAAAGAAATGTCTGCATTTGAGCATAATGCTTATTTGGATAAAGTTTGCGTTAATGTTTCTACTGCAGCAAAACATTTTGGAAAGCCTATCCCAATATGGGATTCATATAATCACCATCTCACTAAATGAAAGCAGCAGATATAATATACATATATCTATTCTTCTGGCCCTTATTGTTGCTTAACTCCCTAGTATAGGGTATACCGAAACTATTTTATAAATTGTACAAACACTGTGTATCTAGATAGAACAGGTTGAGGTGGTCACAGGCATGGGGCTAAGCCAGGGCCAGGCCACTGAAGGAGACTCTAAAGCACGTAGTTATATACATGTTATTATAAATACACATATATTAAAGCACCACTCTAGGCACCCAGACCACTTCAGCTTAATGAAGTGGTCTGGGTGCCAGGTCCAGCTATGCTTATCCCATTCTTTTATAAACATAGCAGTTTCAGAGAAACTGCTATGTTTATGAATGGGTTAAGCCTTCCCCCAAAGCCTCTAGCGGCTGTCTCATTGACAGCCGCTAGAGGCGCTTGCGTGATTCTCACTGTGAAAATCACAGTGAGAGCACGCAAGCGTCCATAGGAAAGCATTGATAATGCTTTCCTTTGCGACCGGCTGAATGCGCGTGCAGCTCCTGACGCGCGTGCGCATTCAGCCGACAGGGAGGAACGGAGGAGGATCGGAAGAGGAGAGCTCCCCGCCCAGCGCTGGAAAAATGTAGGTTTTTACCCCTTTTTCCTTTCCAGAGCCGGGCGGGAGGGGGTCCCTGAAGGTGGGGGCACCCTCAGGGCACTATAGTGCCAGGAAAACGAGTATGTTTTCCTGGCACTATAGTGGTCCTTTAATATCTTGTGCGTATGATGTGTCTATATATCAAAATCATTGTTTGCACATAGTGCATACAGGGATATATGTGCAAATCCTGCATTTATATATATATATATATATATATATATATATAAATATAACATACATCATGTTTGGCAAATTGTATACTTCATATAGTTTTATAAAGTTTGCCTGTGTTAATGTACGTGTAAACATATAGTTATA